CATTCTTTGATTACAGAACATACACTACTAGAGCTATTGTAACTTGCTGTGTGTTTTGTTTAATTTTTAATAATTATGGTACACGTTCGCGGGGCATGGGCCGGCGCCTCGGGAATGAACATTCCTTCGTTTCGCGCGGGGGTGGTTGAGGTTGTTGCGGGGAGAGTTTTTAGTCGGCTGCCCCGTACTTCTACCGATTCTGAACATTTTTTTACCATCATCCTTACGTTCCCTTTTTCGTCTTGAACTTCGTTCCGAATAAAAAAGCAACCCTCGGCGCACGGCAGGATGCACCGGTGAAAAGCTGTCGTCTCGGAATCGTTTCATGACCGTCGTGTTGCATGCAGTTCTCATCACCGTCATGAAGGATCTCGACGTTGTGCTGGTGGTGGTGGTTTTGTGTTTATTGTATAATTGTTGTTGTTGTTAAATTTTTGTTTTTTGTTTTTTGATTTTTTGTTTAAACATTAGCTGAATAATGGCGATAAGTGATGGTGAAAAGTGGTGATGCTGTTGCTTTTTTAAATCTCTTCGTATCATCTCCTCCGCTCCTACTTTCGTGCACCATTGTTATTTTTTCCTTTTTGTATAATTGATTTTTTTTTTCCTTTTGTTGCTCGATTGTATGTTTTGTCGAGGGACCGTAGAAAAATCTCTTTTGTCTCTTCGTTTGTTTTGGAAAGATGACTCTTTTTTTTTTTTTTTTTAATAATCCAGCGATGATTCTTTGCCATCCTTGATTTAATTTTATTCTTTGGTTTTCAATTGCATTTTCGTTTCTTTTCAATATCTAATCTTTTTAGGAATTACACCCCTAATCGTTGCCTAATCTCACAGATACTCGCTCATTCGCTCTCTCATTCGAAGCACCTTTCCCTATATCGAAGAAATCTTTGCACCTTTGCCGAAACAAACGAATCGTGTTCGCGCCGGAAACGTGATTATCTTCAAAAGAAACTGTTGTCGCGTTCTCCTACGAATACCTCCTGAAATATCTCGGGAAATTGTGTTCGCCAAACGTTTGGTCCCTGTCTTAATTTGGAGGCTGGTCGGTGCCGGTGGTGCGAGTGTGTGAAGAATTTGTGTGTTTTTCTTTTTTTTCTTTAGGCTTACTTATCTATCCTATCGTAGCTGTACAATCCATCGCAATGCTGTGTATGTGTGTGTTTGTGAGCGTGTCCGTGTAAGTGTGTATTGGTGTACCGGTGTCGAGAAAAAAAAATTTCCCGATCGGCAACACGCCCGTTTCGGTGAATGCTATGGCGTTAAATCGTCAAGAGCGATCGTCGAACGATCAGGCGTGCACCGACGACGAACAGAAGCATTGATTCGATAAAAACGATTATCGTTGGTTGCATGAACGAGGTGTATGCACTCGTCCAGCTTTAGGTATTTACATAGAAACTAACCCTATTTCGCATTATGTACTTGATTTAAGTTTACCAGTAAATTCTCAGTTTATGCTTGTGATATCAAGGTGTATTTACATACTACTTAATCCGAGGAAAAAACGCCCTGTAACGCAAAAACTGTTATAATAAGAACGACCAATGATCGACTCGCGTGCACGGTACTCGGAACTCGAGGTGCTCCGATTTTTCCAAATTCTTTCAAATTTTTCCCAATAGATTTCTAATGTCCAACGTTTCGATGCGAAATTGAAATTGCTTTTAATCGATTTCGAAGGTAATTGAAAGCGTCATTTTCAGGTGAGAATGTCCTACGAGTTCCAGTCGCGAGGCGAGTGCAATCGTTAAATGTAGCTTTGACGATGAATCTTTTTAGCAATCTTTCCTTCTCTCGTCCCAGATGGTGAAAAAAGCCTGGCTATCCGGCGGCTTCTCGGCGCGTGTCTCATTTTTACGTTCAACGAAGATGACGACGTTAGGCTACTTTCGTAAGTGGCGAACAAAGGGGTTGAATTAAAGGCATCCCCTGAAGAGGAACGGAGAGGATACAATTTAGAATCTATGGATTTCCATTTACTCGATAATTTTTCATGAAATTACTTCTTTTCGCCGAAACGTTTGCCTCTTTCTAGGTTTCTTTTTTTTTTCTATTATCTCGGGACAGAATGAGGAAAATCGTTGAAAGGAACGGAAGGTGTGGAAGATACCAGGAACAATGAAACGTAAAACAGTCAAAGGAATCCGTCGAGAATCTCCAAAGTTTGGAATAACAACAACAACAACAACAACGCGGTCGACGTTCGATTTGTCACGGGGAAGAAAAAATTCGGCACGCTACCATTCAATTCCGCACACTTCAGTCCGCGATTGCCAGTCGAAGAAACGAAGAAATCGAACGTGTCGTAGGTAATTTTTCTTGTGAAACGACCTTCTTTTTTTTTCCCTTTATATACTTTTGATGAATTTTGCCCTTTGGACCGGTTCCGCTTTTTGGAATTTTTCATTTTTTAACCGCGATTCAAGTTCCAAGAGTATAGCAGGCGGGCAAACACGGTCAACGTTTCGTTTCATCTCATCTGGTCCGGTCGAAAGAAACCCCATCGAAAGTACGGACAGTCCATGAGTTTTGTAAAAGGTTGGAAAAATGGGAATCGGGGTCGAGATTGATGGGGTATCACAAAGGGGGTACGGTATTCAGGGGGTAAAGGGGTTGGCCCGAGTTTTGTAAAGTTCGCTCCACGATCAAACCTACGGACTTTCTATATTCTTCTTCTTCTCCTCTCCCTCGTCATCCTCATCTTCGTATATTTTTTTTGTTGTTGTTCTTTTTAAATCGATCCACCTCTCTGTTCTGCTTCTCCTTTCTTCGTCTTATTCTTCTTCTTCTTCTTTCTAAGTATTGCGAGAACGTAACGGTATATTGCAAGTAAAAGTTCGAAACGACGCAAGTATTTTTACGCGTTCAGATATATACCCGGAAATAAAAAAATATTTCGCTTATAACGATCACAGGACCTCAGATTACCTGAAGCACGCCACTCTAAAATTCTCTCATTCTCTCGTCTCATTCTTCTCATTCTCTCATCCTTGATGCTCACGAAGCATTCAGATTCGCTCGTCTTCGCATTCATACGACCGCCTGCCCGTACACGTTAGCGACGATCCCAAGCTCGTTGTTTCATTCACGAAAATCTTGCACCCAGTGCACTCTTGTACTCTTGTTTCCCGTTCTCTCGATCGTTCTCTCGCTCCTCTGTCTTTCATCGTGTACTCTCGTGTTCTGGCAGCAGCTCTTCTGCTTCGTTCTAACGTTCGTCGCGGCTCGGGATCCTTGGTAGCGGTGCACGGGCACGCGTAACCTCGTTCGCTTCAATTTCTTTTTCGCCTAATTTATCCTAGTCTCATAGACCCTATATTTATTATTTATAATATTTATATATATAATATATATAATATTTAGCATTTAGTTTTCTTTAATTTCTCTCTCTCTCTTTCTTTCTTCATCATTATTTTTTAACTTCTTTTTCATGTTCTTCGTCATCTCTCGCGTGCTTTTTCTTTTGTTTATCTTCACGAAAAAAAAATGCTTCGCACACTCTAACGATTCTTTGAAAATGTGCACATGTACAACAAAGGAGGGGCTGTTTCCTAGCCACCGTCCCGTGTTCTCATTTTTTTTTTTTTTTTATCTTCATCATACACTCCAGACTCTCTGTATGTATATATATATATATAATATATATAATATAACTGTTTGTAATAATTATATTTTGTTTGTTCGCTTACGAGCTAATAGTTTTCGTGCTGCCGATCAGCACATGTTGCGCGCATTTTATATTCTTCTCTCGAGTAGATCTGTGTGTGTCCGTGTATCTATATTTATATATATATATATAAGTGTAGCTGTTTTGTGAAAACTTTTGTGTTTCGTGTATCTTTGTATAACAGGGTAATTTTGTTTTTTTTTTTTTTTTCTTGTGTTCTCTGTGTACATGTATCACTAACGTGGTCGACGGACAACGACGATCCGTGTCGTCGTCGTGCCGCTCGATCGCGGATCAGACCGTCCGTTTTGCAGTTTCCGCGTTTGTCCGGTAAACGGGAAGGGGTACGCGTTCGATAAGCTGATCCAGCTGACCGCGTTTACGCACGTATCAGACGCGTATTGTTTGCCTTAAACGTTACGGGAGCTAAGATTACCGGGGGAACCTTAAGTTGATCTTTAGGTATGTATATATGTATATAGGTTAGTTTGTTGAGCCTTAGACCGACCGCTGGATCCGAGGTGAATTGAACCTCTCTCAGCTGAATCGTGGTCTACGAGTTTTCGGCTCTTGTACTAAAAAAACCTTAGTACTCTGCGCGCTCCGGGTAGCATCCCTGGACAAAACAGGGACGAACCAGAGACGAACGCGTCAGTTAGCAGTTTTTCATTCGATAATATTATGGCACGTTTCAGGGGCGACTTTGGATAGCGGCCGTGACAACGCGTCCTGTGAATTCTGAAAGAGCGACTCGACGAAATCGAGGTGACGTACCGCACGACGGAGAACACCGCCTTAGGTATTCTCGTACGGCGGGCATCGTCGTTCTAGGAACTCTAGATCCAGGACCGAAGTAGGAACAACACGATCAACGCGAGAAAATCAGGCGTTGCTGAAAGACCGTTGCCACAGCTGCCGTAGTCACACACCGTCTAACGGATTTCTAGATACGTATGACCTCTGATCTTTCTCCCTGAATTCATTCAGAGAGAGAGAAGAATTTCACGATGAGCGAAAATAGGATTGCCGAGAGGCCTTTCGAACCTCTCTCTGATTGATTAATTAATTCTTTCGTACTGCTGAGACATTAGTGTTTTCGCGGGTGACCACACTTGGACGCCTGTGCTCGAATCGACGTAGAAGACGACAAACAACGATTCGATCGGTTTATCGTCCGTGTACGTCGTTCTTTACACGTTGTCAGAGTTACCGATCATGTCGTCGGCTTTCCTCTTGACACCACGGTCTTCAGGATGCTGCTGCTGTTGCTGCTGTTGTTGTTGCTGCTGCTGCTGCTGCTGCTGTTGGTGATGGTAATGAAGACCGATGCCAGACGAACCTTGCTGCTGCTGCTGATCGTTCAGAGATCCTGGACGATCGGCTGATTGAATGGATTGTTGATTGAGGCGTTCAGCCTGCTGCTGTTGCTGCTGTTGCAGGTTCGACTGCTCCGACGTCCAAGGGGTCCACTCGTCTCAGTAGTAACTGAATTTTCATGGTTGCTGACTGTTCTGCTGGTTGACGACCTGCTGGATGGTGAAACTCAAGGCTCGAGGATCACCGTGAAGCCTCAACGCTTGTTCCAGTCGTTGTTCTTGTAATCGCAACGCTTCCCCTGCGAAACGTGTAAGTAGTTACGATCTTTCCCTTTGGAGAACTTTAGTTTCAACGTTTTTTAGTTGGCATCGATGGAGGTGAACTTACCAAGGTCGGGCGGTAAGGTGTCTTGCTGAGACATCTGTTGGTTCGTGTGATGTCCAGGCATGCCAGAGGTGTTGCCACCGTTGTGCTGGCCCAGGTGATGTCTCACGTCTCCGCCAACCGCGGAACTGGCCGCCGCCGCTGCTGCTTGCGATACCTAGAGAACGAATCATCAGGAATGGTAAGTTGTTTCGAAATAGGAGGATCTCCACTTCGTTCGTGGATGTACACTTACAGCCAGTCTAAGCGCAGCTTCGGCCTGAGAACGCAACAAAGCTTCCGCCTGGTGCATTCTCAACGTTTGTTCTGGTCCGGTTGCTTGCACTCCCTGCTGTTGCGGTCCCGTCGATCCTTGCGCACCGCCGCTCATGTCACCGTTGTTTCCCATTCTCATCGCCGCCGCCAAGGACGCCATGTCCACCGGCGACAAATTCGGCGATACGGAGTTTTGCAAACCTGCGGAACGTCAAACGGAAATTTCATTTTTCTATTCGGCCTGCTCGTTGAACTATTGCTCGGTCGCGAGGAGCGCGCTAGTTTGGACCATAGATAAGGGGGAAAAATCTTAGGAATGGAAAAACATAATTGTAAATCAAGCTTTATCGGGAATAATTAGAACGAATCCGTCGTGTCTGTTGTCGTCGCGAGCGACGTCGCGTCTCTCGATAAGGCTTCGTTATCGACGGCCTTGAACGGATATCTCGGCAATTCTGTTGACCGATCGATCGAGGAAAAGCAGATTAGAGAGAGAAGAGATTCTTACCCGCTGACACGGCGGCGGCCATTACTGCCATGCGTTGCTGTTGCGACTGCATCTCGTCGTGGTACTGTTGCGCGGATGTTGGCTGACTTCCCGCTCGTAGCATGTCGCTCAGCTTGTTGCTGCTCGGTCCCGGCGATGCCATATTGTTGTTGTTGTTATTGTTGTTGTTGTTGAGTAGACCGGTACCTACGCAAAAGTCTGCTCACGTTAGTACGCTCGACGAACGGCGAACAGGTCGCGCGCGTTTAACTCTATACCTATTTTTATAATATCATCTAATCGATGTTTGTCGGTATTGTTGGATGATACGCAAGTACACAGACATTATGTTAGAAATGATGATAGAAAAAAAAAAATGACGGAGTGAGCCGAAACGTTCGTATGACGAAATTACTCACAACAGGAATTCGTAGATGATTTATTTGACTCAGATCAAGTGTAATAGTGTTTACTACAATAACTGTCGCTGTGTTTCGAAGCTTTGGTGGTTTACTTAAATCGCTAGTAGTTCCATACACGATGATACACCACGACGATTACAGCGAACGTGTGTACGAAAGAAAGGTCGCTTCGGTGTTTAAAATAGTAGGTTTACTCGTACTCTACGACATATTCACGACACTCTAACCATTATTCCAGACGGACCATTTGCAAGAACAAGATCGGAGCGTACCAGGTTCACTACCGGCCGACGATAGTCTTCCGTTTCCGCTGCTGCTGTCCGAGTGAGCCGACGGCGAAGGACACATCGGTGGTTGTTGCAAATTTTGTGGTCCGCCCGATTGACTTCCCAACACACCCAATCCCGCACCTGTACACGAGAATCGTATGTATCGTTACGATCGTTGCCGGTATCCGAATCGATTCTTTCCTAGCTGATTTATATTTTCTTTTTTTTTCATTTTTCTGTTTCATACCTAAACTCGAGGATGCCAGGATCTCTCTCTCCCGCCTCTCGGCGGCGGCGCGACTTAAAACATATTGCGCCGCGAACTGATGCTTCGGGTCCATTCTCATGTGCTCCATGTGACTCAACAAACCTTAACAGCAAAGCAGAGCAGACGCTCGATAGAGTTTTTCAGTTAGTTTGGCAAGCTTGGATGAACGAATAAGAATTATTGAGTTAATGAAGGTTCGATAGAGTAACGTTTAGATGAAAGTAACGGTAAGAAGAATACACATATATGTATAATATATAATGGAGAAGAAGGAATATAATATATACGTAGTTAATGTAAGAGATTGCACTTTTGATACGATTTTTGTGAAGAAGAAAAATATACTTACCGCTCTCGTGAGTGAAGACGGCCTGGCACACCGAGCACGGCCACATCCTGAGGCTCGTGCTTAGTTGACTGGTCTCAGGATGGCAGGCCAGGTGTTTCCTAAGACTACCCTCGTTGACGTAGTGTTTTCCGCACACTGGACACGGGTGGTTGGCGGTCCGTCGCTTCGCTATGTAAACCCCGACAACGGAGGTTGTGCAGTCAGCGGAGGGAACAATAGGGCGACACAATTTCAAGGTCAATGCTAAGCAGGATAAAGCTTCCCAAGGAACGAAAGCCACCTCCTCCATCATCATTATCATCACCACCACCACCATCAATTATCATCATCATCATCATCATCATCATCATCATCATAATCATCAATATATCATATCATATCATCGTCACGATCGTCATATCACCATCGTCATTATCATCCTTCTTCGTTTATTTATTTATTTATTTATTATTATTATTATTATTTTTTTTTTTTTTTCATTATCATCATCACTATCATCTTCATCATCATCATCATCATCATTCTCCTCCTTCTTTTCCTCCTCCATCTCCTCCTTCTCCTCCACCTCCACCTCCTCCTCCACCTTATTTCTCACGCATTCGCGTGTACAGACGCGCGTACGTACGTCGACATTCCAGTCGACCTCGAAGGCGAAGGGAGAATCCTTGCAGACACGGATAGCCGAGGACCAGGAGAGCACTGACCTCGGACGCACCGAGCGCTGCTTCTGCCGTTGCTGACTCCCTTTCACGAGCGAGGTCGTCGGCCCAAAAACCAAGATGCACACGCACGTACGCGCGCTTGTTGCACGCTTATAGACGCACAAAGAAAAGTTCGACGAATCTCTCTCTTTCATTATATTCGATTTTTTTATTTTTTTTCTATTTACTTTTGTTTCTCTAGCAGTCTTTTTCCCATTTCCTCCCCCTCGCTCGCTCCCCCTTTTTTTCATTATTTTCTCCCTTATTGTTCGTTCTCCCTCTGCCATTCCGTTTCTCTCCCTTTTCTCTTCGAAGAGACATTCGAACGCCTTCTTCAAACGGACGAGGGGAAATCATGCGTTTAACGATGCATTCGGACGAAAGTTTACCATTTTATCAACACCTTTCTCGTCTTACTTGACAAAACACTCAACACCTTCGTTTTTTTTTTTTTTTATCCGTCTACGTTATGAAAAACACGATGGAGGAAAGGAGACACGACGCGTCGAAAAACTGGGCATGCTGTTTCTCGTTAGATCAAGAGATTCTCATTTTCATTGGCGCGAAGCAACGCTTTGTCGATTCTTCTTCTCTGTACGTCTATCCATACGTATTCGCCCCACACACTTGACAGAACACGCACCAAAGTCGAACGAAACACCCTTCTTAAAGCACCGGTTTTGTATTAGCGAATATAGTAGTACGCAAGTATTAGTCGGTGAGTGCGCTAAGTGCTACACCCCCTTTTATCCCGTTCAGCGAAACAGTACGAAGAAAGTGACAGGACAATGTGTGCATATCGCCCGCGCCAAAGCAAGTTCTTAGGTGGGGGATGTGAAACGTACTTAAAGACTAAAGGACGAACCACCCCTCGTGTCTCGACGAGTGGTCGTTTCATTTCTCTCTCACTCTCGCTCTCTCATTCTCACTTTCTTACATTCACCCTCCTTTTCACTCTTATCATGTATACACGCATACACAATCTCTCTCTCCCTAGTTCCCTTTCTTTCCTTCCTTTTAGTCTTATTCGCAATTAAGGTACCCTCGTTACGTCTATCTCCGTTCTTTCTTTCTCCTCGAAGGAATTCTCGCGGGAAACCCTCGTTAGCTGGTGTTAGAAAGGACGAACCGGATGGAATCGCCAGCGAAAGTCGGAGACCACGAGGAGGAAGCGATCGTAACGAATCGTAATCCGCGTGAAAATGCGATAACTTGGATAACGCGTGCAAACTCGCTCTCCTCCGCGTCGTGTCCAACGGACGAGAAGCAGAAAAGATTTGATTAACACGTGTGGATCGTGCGTTAGTCGAGGATAGAGTGTTTCAGCGTTAGTATGCAAAATTTGACAAAAAAAAAAAAAAAGAAAAAAAGAAAAAAAAGAAGAAAGAGTTAAAAAAAAACAGACAGAGAAGAGAAGAGCCGGTGTTTTCGTGTAGACGCGTGGAACGATAAAAAGCAAGGAGAAAGAAAGAATGAGACGGACGATATCGAGGGGCGGTCTCGGTTATCGTAGATACTTACTGGCTACGCCGGAGGCATTCGGATCCTTGTGGGTGTGCTTCATGTGCTCCATAAGAGCTTCGCCACCGAGAAAGAGTTTGTGGCAGACAGGACAGCTGGTTGCGTTCGGGCCGCCGATCAAGGCGGCGTGTTGCTGGAACACAACACGCTGTTGCAACTCCTTTTTTGGTGGCCGGAAGAAGAGGAACCGGAAGCAGGCAGACGCGGTGCACCGGTAGAGAGCCGACCCACAGAATACCACCACAGAGTCGCGAACCAGAAGCGCAGGACAGGCAGCGCACAGAACAGAACGATTGACCAGTGAGAGTTAGGGCACCGATTTGCCGCCGCCACCACACAGACTATTTCATATTGCAAAGGGAATTCACCTCGAGTGTCTGGTAAGATACGAGAGGATCCAAGGTAACAGGGATGCGTTTCGTTCTTTTGGGAATTGTTCGGTAATCTGAGACGATGAAAGGGTGAAAGGACACTTGTGTGGAAAAATGGGAGAAAGCAAAGCCCAGACAGACGAATGTATTAAAAGCGCGAGGTCTGGAGAACGATCGGAACCGCTAACGCGATCAAAGAAAGTTTCTGTGGTGGTTACTTGGAAAAGAACGCGAAAAGATCTTTGGTGAATCTCCGATTGATCTCGTTAGACCTCGCAGATGAACGGGAATGCAAAGCATAGATCACATGACTAGCTAACTACACAATTAAGATGGCCTCTGTTGCATTATCGTACTATTCGCGATTCTGTTGAATACATAGCTCTTTTGTCTTTTTGCCGAACAACAAAGGCCATCCTTAAGAATGGACAAACACGAAGAGTAATGAACGAAATTCGACGTCCTCATTGCAAGTATCTGTCTTCGTCATTGGCGACCTCGTATCGAGATACAATTTTGCGGTGGTATCATTTCGATCTTTCTTTTCATTTTTTCTTTCTTTTTTTATTATTTCTTTTTCTTTTCTCTCTCGCACACGCGAAGGTCGGTTATAGGCACACGAGGCGGTAGGGGCACGCGCTGAGGAAAAACATGGCGGCCAACCTTGCTCGAAAGAGTGCTTAAAACGGAGAGAAAAAGAATACGAAAAGGCGGGAAAGAAGAAGGAGGATGTCGAGGTGGGAGGAAGGAAAGGCTAAAACGAGACCGGACGGCAATGACCCCAAAGTTTTGGGATCTTCGCGCCACTCGTTCCTTTCTTCCTGTCTACTCCCCGCCCTCGACTTTGATACAACGAATCCTTTTTCCTTTTTTTCTTTTCCTCTTCTTCTTTCCTCCACCTCGTTTCTCTCTCATCTTCAACTTTTCCTTTCTCATCGCGTCGAGTCGTCCTTCTCTCTTTATTTTTCTCCTCCCCCCCTCTTATCCTACCTCTATCTTTACCGAAGCGATTCGTAACCTTCTTTTTTCCCGGACCTAAGGCAACCGCAACCGAGTTGAGGCGATCAACGAACGGTGGAGAGCCGAATCTCGGGCAGGACCAGTTTAAAATAACACCCAGGCGTGCGTCGTCGACCTTACGTTTCGGCTAGCCTTTTTTTCTCGCGATTCTTCCCTTACCCCCTTCCCCGACCCTTCGTCAACCCGACTAAAGTATCAGGCTCCATTGTTTATAACAATGACTTTTACTTCTTCGACCTTCCACCTGATTGCACGTTTTTTTATTTTTCTTACTTTTTCCCAGACTTCCATGATTTCTTTTTATCCCACGATTAGCGTATATTTCAAGCGTCAAGGACTCCTTTCTTTTCTCGCTAAGGTATAGGGCAATCGCCGAGTTGCTTTTGTTCCTGTCGTATTCTTTGCGCGTGCAAACTTCCTTGACCAGGGTCAATCTACGTAGGCAGCCTTGGTCGATTCGAATGAAAAAAAAAAAAAAAAAAAAAATAGAGAAAAAGATGTTGGCAAAAATAGCAGCAGGGAGGAAGAAGAACGTGAACGAACCCCGGTGTTTAGGAGGTCCTTGCCCTTCTTCCTTCCACCGCTTTCGCTTCTTCTTCTTTTTGCTCGTTCGAACACCCACGCTCTCCTCTCGGCGTTCTTTCTTTGCGGATAAACGATATTCTTTTCAAGGCACGCTTCTCGCTTGTTTTCGTCAGGCCAAAGACCTGGGCGTCCTTCTTTCTTCCCGGACCTAGGGCAAGCCCGAGCCGGTCGAGCCGACACGGCACGCCGCGAAGAAGATGCTGGTCGTCGACGTCTTCGGCGTCGCTGGGTGCTAGTGTTGCTGGTGCAGCAGCATCAGCAGCAGCATGCAAGTTATTCTCGGAGGGAGGCTGCGGTCCGTAGGTTCGACGCCCCGACCTGGCCCAACTGGAAAAAACCGGTTTCTTCGTTGCACTCTTCCTTTTTTGCCTGCATCCTCGCTTTTTGCACCGCGAATACCTCGGCTCTCCTGGCCGTCGCTCTCTTTCTTCTCGTTTCTTCTGCACGGCATGCATCTGTCCTCCTCTTATCTCTTTCGCAGGCCATTGCTTTTCTCTCCTCTCTCCTCTCCTCTCCTTTCTCTTTGCCCCGCTTGCCGTCTCTCTTCGCACGCCGCGCTGACTCGAGAGAGAGTGGTTGGAGCGTGGGCGAATCCCCAAGGGACTTTATGATTCGCCGTGACCAGATTCATCTCTCTTCTCCGCTACACGTACCTACGTGGCTGTAGCAGCTAACTCCGAGCTCGATTACTCGCCTCTATTCCCAATTCCATGCTTCCTGATCCATCGGCCCAGTCTCGACCCGTATCTGGGTCAGCATTCGTGACGCGAGGGAAAAAATTGTCGATCGACCTAGTCCCGTCGATCCTGCTCGATTTAGGATACCGCGCGAGTATGTCTGCTCGGTTTTCACCGGTTTACCACCGATGTGTTTATCCGGTCAAGCTCGTCGGAGTGTTTAAAGCAGGTTCGAATCAGGGAGTGGCGTAAAAAGGAAGTGGGTGTGAGCACACGCGTAGCGACGCGTGACGTTGGGCCGTGTATGGAGCCATTTTGTGTTCAAAGAAAAGGGACCATCTTTGATCGAGTCGAAGAAAAGCGTTTCCTCTCTAAGAAGTCGCGACAAAGGTTTTTGACGGAAATTCGCGTAGGAACCAGAGAATCTATGGCCGGTCCTTCTGTTTTTCTCGGTGCAACGCGATAAAGCCCGAAGGTTATTCTCGCGACACGCAATTCTTTTCGCGTCATTTCTCCTCTTTTTTTTTTTTTCTTCCTCGGCCGTCTCCTTTCCTTGGCTTTTTTAGCCGCAACGAGGCCGCGCGAGCCTCGCCGGCAGACAACCTTCGTACGATACTCGGCTACACCGATAAACTTTGAATCTGTGAAAGGTATTCACCTCTTTTATTCTCAGCCAGATGCTCGATTTTTGCCGCGAAACCCTTTCCGCGTCATCTTCGCTTCGATCTTAAGGCGATCCTCGAAGAAGAACCCGGTCCTCGAACGTGTCGCGACAAAAATCCCTGCCGGCTATTAACGCCTGATCGTCACGCTTCATCGCCGCGAATGTAATTGAAAAAAAAAAAAAAAAGAAAAAAGAAAAATAAAAAACGTGTACGCGTCAGAGATTGAACGAACGCGAAATAATCCGCGGCGGGACACGTGTGATCTTTTTCATTACGGGCTGTTTGATTTGTCGCGTCTCTTTTGCTTCCATTCTATCGTCTATCGCGTATTATTCCGAGCCGTCGCGTTTTTTGGCGTATCACGCGCTGGTAATCCGCGCGTTATGCGTGTCCAATCACCCCCGAAGAGCGAGGAAAGGCTACCGGCATATACAGACAGAGAGAGGAGAAAAAAAAACACAACAAAATGTAACAACCGGGAAAGGGTTGAGGACGCAGCTTTATCCCCCCCGAGTGTTGTACCAATAGCAGTTTCGACGCGACCCTCTAGCGCTTTCGTTCGACTAGGAGAGCGAAAAAACGCAGGGGTGTCGTTGCACAATAGGCAGAAATCCCACCCCAACGGAATCGACGCGGGAATGATTTCATTAGGTCTCGGTCTCGATGATGGAGCATATACACGGTAGCCAGAGGGAGGAAAAAAAAAGGGGGCCCGCAGGGGCGGAGACTGTGCAAAAAATTAATATCGAGGGGGTTGCGAGAGAAAGGAAAGAAAAAAAAAATGCCGGAATCGAAGAGGAGATCTCGTCGGAACAAGCGACGCGTCGTGCTTTTCTATCGAACACGCGTATAAAGAAGTTCTCGGGAAAGCTCCGTTCGTCCCACTTTTCTATTTTAACGCCGTAAAAGAGACAAACAGCATAGTTCTTCTGGAGATGCGCCAGACAGCGATGTTTAACGACGAGAGCGGTTCACGCGGGGACGCGTAACACAGCAGGGAGGAGATTATTTCGGCTAAGAGCGGAAATTGGTTCAATTGTAAAAACGTCGAAGCAGGTGTAAATATTGCACCCTGCGCCCTGTTTCTTCCTAGAGACGGGTTTGCGGTTTTCATCGAAGGACGACTCTTGAACCGTAGGTATTAATTTCACGACTTCGTTAAACGCGTTCCTGCTGGAGGGATAAGATGAAAGAGAAAAGAAAAAAAAATATTGAAATCGTTTAGATCGACGTCGAATCGAGAGAAAGAAACGTGATCGTTAGGATGGATGCAAAGGACGTGATCCATTAACGAATGCCAGATACCAGACACGTGGAACGTATTCGAATTTCCGCTGAATTTCATCGAATTTCGGGGAAATAATAGTCGAAGGATATGGAGAGTACGAGCCGCGGTTTGTCGATCGTTCTCGTGGAGAATGAAAAGCGAAATTTTGCAAGCGAACTGGAATTACACTCGAAAGGAATTCCCATGGGCTCGAAAATATTCTGACCCGATCGTTTTACCTTTAATCGTTGCCACGGGTACTTGGAACACTGCGACAAAGAGAGACCAGCATGAAATGAAGATCAATTTTCATTAATTCGAGACAGTTAATAAATCAGTTGCATTTTTTTTTTTTTTTTTTTAGAATGCCCATATTCCAACGTCCTTTGCACGATAGGAAAAGGATGAACAAGCGTTTCGTTTTCGACTCGACGGTGCTTTGTAACGCGCGCGTTTCTTTATTATTTTGAATTATTATCTTTAATGTAAAATCGCGCGCGATGATCCGAGAGAAAATTTGGAATATTTTTGATTGGACGCGAACCGAAAGCAAAAGTAGTTAAAAAGAAGCACAGCATAACGAGCGCGCGAGCGCGGCTTTCTAGAACACGAAAATGAATCCCCGTGGCGAGGAAAAATAAATCTAATGGCTAACGAGTTTTTACCGAGCTCCGTGCTTGGGCAATTAAGAAGAGGGTAGAAGAGGGGCTCGATGGGGGTAGGTGTAGTACCGGAGGTGAATCGGAAGAAGGTCGAAGGTACGAGAAAGTCCGCCAGCAGAAAAGGGGTTGTGTATCGTGTTGCACGACATTCAACCCTTGTACCGCTAAACTACAGATAAATACGAAGGCTGTGTGCCACGGAAAAGTGGGTAAGACGCGACGAGAGGGAATAGCAGCGAAAGAAACCCAGGCAGGGTGCGAGTTGGCAGCGGTTTTGCTTGAAATTTTTCACCCCCTTTTTCCTCTCTCTACGTACACCAGTACTCTGACGCTTTTGTTTTTGCATTTGCTGATCAATTTCATGATCGAACACGTTGCCTGTCGGTGTACGCGTAAAGCTCAGGAGAATTCGAAGAAACACATCAGCCCCGTTTGTTCTTCGGCTGGTTGGAAACAAAGAAAGGGATAATACAGTTCGTAAGACGCACGAAGGAAGCGCAGAGGGAGGAAATCCAAGTTTCTACGGCTGGCTACCGATCGTTCTCTATAATACATTTACACTCTGCCCTATTATAATATTGTACTCGGAGTGTATTGTCTTTCTTGGTCGAGATAATGTTTCGCCGACACGCCAGGTCTCGACCCACAGCGTAACTCTTTCATTTCCCCTTTCTATCGTTCTTCCTTCGGTTCTTGCCAACCTCTCTCGCTCTCGGTTATTTTTTTCTTTTTAAACAACGATCCATTAGCTATCAGGGTAGTCGAGGCAGGGATGGGGGCTAGTAGATAGCCTGGAATAGCGAAAACAATTTCAAGAAATCTGCCCCGGCGAAAATTCGATTAGCCGCGCAAGATGGGCTCTCTCGAGGTACTTCTCTCTCGCTCTCTCTTACTCTCTTCGTCCCTCCATTTGTTTCGTTTCGTTTCGTTTCGTTTCGTTTCGTTTCGTTTCGTTTCGTTTCCTTTCCATTCCTTTCCTTTCCTTTCGTTTTATTTTCACCGACCGGACCGACTCTGTTTCTGTCGCGCTGGCGGCTTTTAATTACTTCTCCGCACTCTCGCGCAACATCTTCTCTTCGTGTTCGCGTTCCTCTTCCACGTCATCGTCATCTTCCACTTCTCCACTTTCTGGCTGTGCTTTTAACCGCGATTCACCACCGGCTACGTTTAACTCGAATCCTTCCTCCTCTCGCGACGAATACGTCCACGATTGTTCGTCTATTTTGCTAACGACGAGAAGCGAATCGATGCGAGTTGAAAATGGGATTCTCCAGGAGAATTTATCGAGATGCGAAAACTCCTGTGAAAAGGGGGGAATCCGAGGGTCTTAACCGAGGATTAGCTTTCAATTAGAGGATCTCGACGGGCCGGACGCGTTAAAAGAAGGATATTTATTGGCAAGAAAACGACGCGGGGCTGGATTACGGTCGCGTGGCTCGTCAAACTTGCACCTGATTCCACAACGAAACGAGAGTGTGGTTCGAGAAGGCTGAAGCAGCCTGGGGAGCATCTTTTCCTCCCAACATCCTTGCCTCGGATGAGATCGTCGAGGCTTTGCTATCGGATCAATTAAATTTCTGTATTTTTTAAACGGGAACGCGTATCGTTGCCATCGCAGCGTTAATCGATAATCGTCTTGATCGGGTCCACTTTTCGAACTCGTGTAGGGAGAATGTCAGTTTCACGACTGGTTACGCAACGTGCTCCTCGGGTCTAATTGGCTAGGAGAGAAAGAAGTCGATATAGGTTTTTCATGGGGACGAAAGAAGCGCGAGAAGACAGCGAAGAGAAACAAGAGAAAAGACCGACTCACGTACAGAGGACTCGACAGATGCCTTCCCACGTTTTTTCGTCAAGACATGTGCCTGGCGCGGCGAAAGGGTTGAGAAATTCAGTTGGTCGAGCGAACCGGGCAAAAAAGCACCCCACGGTACAAGATTCCTTTGGTAATCGCTACGTGCCGCGATTCACCGTCAGGGGTGAATTCGATTAAGCGTCGTAGACGCGATCTTTTTCCCAGATCGTTGCATTTTTTTTTTTTTCCTTTCACATACTATTCGTAATGGATGCTCCTTCTTCGATGCTTTCTCCCTTTTTTCTCATTGCGTTTCACGCGATATCGACGCGTCAACGAACGCTTATTGTTCGCTCCCTCGTCGCGTCTCTTATGCAAACATCGTCGTCGTCGTATTTTGAAACGAGTTTCTCGTTGTAACATATTTTTTTTTCTGTTTTAGGTCGATGACGTCGCGTCGAGGATGCTGTTCGACGAGCAGTCAGTTTGCGATTGATAAATGGACGATCGAAGCCACGAGAAAATTGTGCATCGCTCTGCGAAATCCCGTTCAAGTCCGAAGCGTCTGGTCGGTGAAAGAAAAAAAAAAAAAAAAAAAAAAAAAAAAACCACAACCAAAGCAGTCCCAAGCGTTGTTACAGGGAAACCCAGCAGAACGATCTAAGCTACCGTTAAAGGATCTCTTTCCCTATTGTTACGACACCAGCAACACGCGGAGATAGTGATAAAGTTACCCGCGAGTCGCGAAACGAAACCCCATGCACGGTCTACCATGAATATTCTTCTGCTAAACAGTTTGTTAATCACTGTCGCTAAAACCTGCCTCGCAACGATCGGTGGTACCGTACATGGAGCGGTCATTTCGCGAACATCGGTTAGCCGTCGATTCGACTAATTCTCTCTGATGGTCAACCGATAGTTTGTTACAGCTAGGCTGCACGATTCGAGAGGATAAAACGGAGCCTATCTTTCGATGGAATTGACCGGTCTGCTGACAGAAATCATCAGGACAGAAGCGTGTGACCCACCACCATGTGTGCATTCAGAGAAACGTGTTCCGTACCGCGCAAGGAAAGGCTACACAATTTTACGTCTAATAAATAGAGGAGAATTTGCGAGTTACGTATGATAAGATATTATATGCATTATATATGTAGATATTGTACGAACAGTATCGCACGTGTACAACCGTGTAACATGATTGATATATCTTTTTTTTTTCTAGACTCGGTTCTCCGGATCTTTCCGACCATGGTTCGATTTTTGATTAAATCGTGTGCGAGCACCGCGTTAAGTAGCCAAAATGCCTGTTGTTGTTGGACGTCGGATTTGGTACATACATGACTGACCTTCGACGTGTGGGTACGAAGGCTGGATTCTGTGGCGAAGCCTTTGCCGCAGATGTTGCAATGGAACGGCCGGTTCTTCGCCCGTTCCACCTGGGCGTCGTGATTTCGAAGGTGTTGCTGCAAATTCGATAGCTGAATGAATGCCCGCCCGCAATCCGGTAGATGGCACTTGTACGGTCGTTCTCCTGTAACCAGGTAAAAAAGAAAAAAAAAAAAAGAATGCACAGTTTAAATCAATTTCGTAATTAACCGTACGTTGGAGCGGCGAAAAATCGAATTAACGGGGAGAAAAATTGTGGGCGAGTTAATTAAAGAGATTTCAGCTTGTTACGTAACAAACGGGCTAAACGAAGGGGGGGTTAATGCGTCGGGACAACGCAATCGTTTCGAATATAAAAGATTAATGGGAACGCTGGTTCAGAGGTACGCGAACGGATGTCGGCGGTCGAATGACTTTTTTCCGGGCACGTGCAACAGGTATCAGCCGCGAGAAGATTTAGGGATGAGCGTAAAAAATGCCAGTCGATTTAAAACGGCCATTAGAGAGGACGGTATTTTAATTCGACGCGTAACCTGTGGCCTGATTTAAAAGCGTAACCGTGAACCCGTTAATCGATGTCGTTTCGTTCTTTTTAACATGTGCTAATAACCTTAACCCCCGTCGCTCGTTCGCAAGATCAATGATAGCTTTTATAAATTCCAAACTGGCAAAGTCTCTCTCGTGGATTCTCGTATTAACGCGAGATCCGCGCGTTTCGTGATTACTTTATAATTCGATTAATATTACAGTTATGATGTTAGCGAGGAAATATCTTCAAGGACGTTTAATCTATTCTATTGATTCGACGTTGAAGGAACAGAGCTCATCGATGCAACTTTTATTGGAATTTTTCTACGGTTCCTCGTTCACCTCGTCTATTCTAATTCGATCTAACTTTTATTAATATCGACATTCTTCTTCGGCTCCTGTTCTTTTTTTCCCTTTCTTTTTCAACCCCGGCCAATTCTTCTTTCCGTTTCTTTGCTCGACCGGGATTCATCTTTTATTCAGATCGATCGATGTTTTAATAAAAATAACTCGGAGAAGATTGGCCGCGTTTTACGATACCTCCGCTCGTTACCTCCCTCCGAGGTGTTATCTTTAAAACATGGAAACAATGAAATTGCTAAAAGCAACGATTTGCAACAATCGAACACCGCGAGGAGAATCGCAACTTCTTTCGAATCGAATATCTTCAGGATATTGCATTCTTTATAACACTTTATAACTTTTGATGTGGATCGCGTAAAAATTATCATCTTCTTTTGAAAAGAAAAATGTAAAAGGAAACTTTCTATCGGAGAAACGTCAAGTTTGAACGGTATCCTAAATGAGAAAATTTCTACCCCGCGGGGTATCTATAGATTATCAGGAATATAGAGAATCGTAGATGATAAAAACCGCGTTGATTACCGCGATCAAAGTGGTACACGAAACGTCATAATTTCACGATTAACTAAACATCTGTCGCGTGCACTTTCCACTTGTACTTATGTTCGCTTTATTCCCTCGTATATAGCCAAGCAATAATTATTATCGAATAAGAGGTAATGCGTCAATTGTTTATTACGAGGTGTCGTAGCGTTCGTTATATTAACTAAATATATTAATATTTATGAGAGATTGTCGTTTTGTCGATTGAAAGAAGAGAACACAGGAAAGATAGAGAGGTAAAGTAATACTGAAAGATAGTGCGTAACACACACGGCGCAAAGTTATAGCCAATACGTAAACTATTACTTTTACGAGCTTTACTTTATCATTTTTGTAAGCACGACCAGGCTACGTTTTACGAGACGCGTTTATTTAGGAGCTACGTGTACGGGAGTAAAATTTTATCGTGTTTGCATCTACTTTGAAACGTAGCCGTTTTACGCATCACCAATGAATTTATCAATGACGCTTTCTTCGTACCACGTTCCACGGTATTTATTAAACGACATAGGTTGACGTTTATTCAACGGATTCTTCGGCTTTGAAATGTTTCACTGTTATAGTACACTCTTGATGTTAGCGTTTAGAATCGTCGATTGATATAAAGTTGAACGAGTTTCAATCAGGCTGATACATTAAAATCGCGAAACGATTTCAAAGTCAATTGATCTCGATTCGGTCGAATGAACGAGCGATAATTCGAACCCTTTTTCCTTTTTTCAACCGCGACTCCAGTCCCGAGATGCTCTTTTTACTCCCCTCGATTTAATGCCTTTCCCTGTATCTGTCCTGACGACACTAAACATGCATCGACATTAAATTTTGCTTGACGACCGTAATTCCCCGACGGTGTATAACGTCATTACATTCATCACCTACACTAGCACCGAATATCAAATGAGAGTGGGCGATATATTTGATTATTTGTCAGTGCGACGGTTTCGCAGGCGCGTGCGTTTCCCACCCACCGTTCGGCTGGAAAATTCCTGCCGCGTTTTTCCACCGCCTCGGACGCTCGTTCGGCGCGTGTGCAGATTTTTTTTTATCCCGCCGCTGGTACGCCCGTTTTGTCCACTCGTCAAAATCACCGGGAAGCAGAGCTTGTAAAAGTAAAAGGTAGAAAGGTCCGGCGGCGGTGGGAAAAAAGTCGAGCTGGCACGTGGTTCCACGCGTGTGCCAGTACGAGAAACAAGCGACGGATTCGCGCCTTCTTCTTCTTCTCTTTTCCATCGTCGTACTCTCCATCTTTGTCTTTACTATCCCTTCTATACACATCATCCTGCCCTTTCTCTTGCTTTGCTTACTCCCTCTAACCCTCTTCGATGCTCGTACACACCCCACCCTATGCAACCCTCTTGCCTAGTCCGTGGAAACGACGAGCCCCCTCCGGCCTCGTAGCGCCGACCACCCAGCGGCCCTCCACGGCCCACTACACGTCCACGCCAGAAAATTAATGTCCCCTGCAATCCATGTATAATGCATTCGCATTTCGTTGAACGAACAAATGAACGCACCGCTAGAAAATTTACGTCCTATCTCTCTCACCCCCTTCAGCCCTCTCTTTCCCTCGAGCACGCTTTCCTCCAACCTTTCTCTCTCTCTCTCTCCCTTTGTTGCCTCTCTTTCAGCCGTTTCGTGTCTCTCCCTTGATTATTTCTCTCTCTTCCGTTCTTTGTTTCTCTAGTGAGATTTTGCGCGTGTGCAACAAGCCAGCCCTGACCAACCCGTACTTGCATACGACCGACACTCTCCTTCTCTCTCTTTCCCTCTCTTTGAACACCCTGCCGATTTCCTCTTTCTCCGCGTTTTCCCGCGCCCACAATTCCAGTTGCCATCATCGAAATTCCGGCTGGAAATCATTAAATTGCATGCACTCACACGCACGTGCGTCGCGCTCGTTGCGATGACCTCGTCTCGGTTCCTCTCCTCGCTCTACCACACCCTCCATCTTTTTCGCTATTTCTCTCTTTCTCTCCGCACGGTGCTATACTAGCGTGGAGTTATTCGTACGAGCGATACCTTGAATTTCGCGACAAGGGGGAAGAGCAAATGCATAGTTGGATGGGAAAAATCGGGAACGAGAATGTTATGCCTGAATCGGTTGGAATGTTTGTGTACGTTGCGATGATATTTGTCGAATGCGCGTCTCACCCCCGTTCGATGATGATTTTCGTTTCTTTTTCATCGGCGAGCCGAATCAGCCCTGTCCAGTGAAATTCGAATGAAATAACGCGCATACATCTGAATTTATTCGCGGGAATACGATCGAACGTGAAATTTCACGCGTAATTTATACAGCTTCGATTCGACGAACGAGGAATATTTGACGGTAGCCGGTAGAGGGTTGTTCGTTTGACCGAGGCACATCAACGGGATTCGATCGAAAAGTATTTTTAGAGGGTGCTGCGACATTCGGTTTCGCGCTAATCAAAACAGCTTTGCTCGCTATTTGTTTCGGTAAAGCGACTAATTCAAGAGTAACTCAAATGGATGTGTAATCATTATATGTGCGTATATAAATAGGTAAATTCTATCGGTTTCACTTGTAACGGTGAAAATATTGGATAGAATTTGATGGAATGAAGTTCCAATCGGTAGAAAGTGGCAATCACTTAGACTGATATAAAAAGACATCGATCGCGTTGCTGTTCGAACAAGCCTGTATTAATTATGTCGCCGATGATGCGAAATCCTTCCATTTTCAATAATCAAATCGACGATTACATTGGCATCGGTCGTTACATGAATTTCTCCGACACCGACTAACCGAGTTTCGCCACAGAAACGATTTAAATTCATCGTCTTCTAATTGTGTAGCTCGATTTCAATATTTTCTTGCGATCGATCGTAATTTCGGGGGAAAATCGTGGAACGATGGCTGGAACTAGGGGGGGGGTTAACGTTTCGGGAGGTTCGGCGGGCGGAATTATGTATTTGGCGGAAATGATGATCGGGAAATCGTACGAAATTTATCGAAAGAAGGAAGAGCATTAACGCGGATGCGGTTGAAATTTATAGGCTTTGAAATTACCATGAAAGCAGCGTTAGCGGCGCGTTCGGTGTGGTATATAACGTGTATTGCGCTAGGAGAACGCGTTACCAGGCGCATAGGGAGCGAACGAACCGGCTAGAGAGCACAGAAAGCCAGAGAGAGATGGATACCGAGAAAGATAGTGAGAGTAAGAGAGAGCGAGAGAGAGAACATCCCTTTCCCGAGCGATGCAGCCGAGCGTTTCACGCATGCATGGAAATCATTAAAATAAAATGGCCGATAACAAATGACTGTTGCAAAGAGGGGAGCCCTCCCGCTTGGCGGCCATCTTGGTTCACGTGACCGTCATCCGGGCAACCACGGGCACGCCACGCCCCTTTAATGATTTCTACCCCCTGGCGAATGTACCGCACCTACGTACGTGCGAAATTTCACGAGTGTGTGTGCCTATATCCCTCGCATACGCGGGGTACAGTCATCATCAGTAGTCTAGGCCAAATCACCCCGGTACATCCTCTTCAAAATCTACTTAGCTATCCCGACGAAATCACCACCCCGTACATTTCAACGTTTCATTCTTCCATCTTCAACGTTCTTCAATCGAATGTTTCTTTATTCAAAGTAAAAAATTCAATGGCAAAGTCGAAAGGGACGGGGGGTGAACGGAATCGTTCGCGAAGGGTGAATGACTCGGAAGCACGATCAGGGGAATCATTCGG